CGTCCCCTACCATTAGGAGTGGTATATTTCGGCGATACGCATATATATTTATATATATATCATACTATATATATACTATAATATATACGCATCCATAATATACATAGATATTTTCGGGCGATTATTTAGCCGGGCGATTATTATCGCTCGTGTGCCCCGTGACCGCGTATTTGTCGCCGATCGATTTTCTAAACCATCTCTCTCTCTCTCTCTCTCTCTCTCTCTCTCTCTCTCTCTCTCTCTCTCTCTCTCTCTCCTCCTCTCTCTCTCTCTCTCTCTCTCTCTCTCTCTCTCTCTCTCTCTCTCTCTCTCTTCTCTCTCTCTCTTTCTCTCTCTCTCTCGCCCTCTCTCTTTCTCTGCAATAAAAAATGTTTTTTGTGTGAAATGATGTGTACGCAACTGCGTATAAGCGTTATGGTAGCTACGCCCCTGCATTAGCTTTGTCGTGTTCATAAGGGTATCTCCGTGAGTTTTAGCTACGTGAGAACAAGAGCTAATAATACCAGGTATTATTAGCTCTTGGTGAGAACTATAGTAAATTATGTGTGATGCTTGTCATTGCATGATCATTCTATTTAGAGATACAAGGATTTGCATGGTCCACAACGCTATATTGCGCTGAAGGGCTGATATTGCTCTGAGGGCTGAAGGCAAGTATATATATATCTCCAAGCTGCTGTACATGTGCGACGCAGGCTAAAAGTAAATCTGTTCATCTCTACACGTGCTCATCAGTAAAGCCCTCAGGTTAACTGCAGATATCTGACGTAATTAACGAGATCATTATACACACTGGAAACTCTCGCCTCGTTAACCATGTCGACCACCCCCAAACATTTCCTACCGGAAAAGATTTAATTTCCGTTTGCATTATTTAACAGCGCTAACTGTCTAGCCATCCAGTCCTGGTTGTAATATAGTCGATAGTAATATAACGATGTCGCTGTGTTTCGACTACGATAATGTAAATATTGGTACGAGCAGAGCAAAGATGGATGCGTGCACATTACTACTATATTGAAAATTGTGATGTATTGTGATGTGTTTATGTTTTATTGTGAGCGTATTCATCGCCCAAGGTAAATTATTACCAGGAATAAATAATACATAACACCAGGGGTAGATAATGACAAATGTATTGTAAGCGAATTTATTGTGTAAAGCCCGTAAAACGAAACGCGTATATTGCACGCGGTCATCCTGCATGATTGAATTTGCGTGCAAATCATTCTTTTTATTGTAGCAATACATGACTGCTTCATGCTCAGAATTCGTTCGTTGAGCAGAAAGGTAAAGGATATGACCAAATGGTGATTGTATAATTCACGCATTCGGATAAACGTGAAGGCTAACTTGGCTGATTTATTCCGCATCGCAACGATTTTTATTTACGCCATTGAATATATATATATACAGGCCCGTAGCCAGGGGGGGTTCGAGGGGTTCGAACGACCCCCCCCCCGAGCCCCTCCCCACCAAGCCAAAATTTTTTTTTTTTGAAAATTTGCAAGAATTTCACCTCAGGTCGCTCCATTTTAGTGTAATAATTGCAAAATCTCCATCGTGCGGGAGGGTGAACAGTGAACACCCCCTTCCCACACCCTCCCCCCGTACGGTCGCTTGGCTCCCTCGCCTGGTCGCTTCGCGCCCGAGCAGGGGCGTGTTACAGGGGGGGTGTCCAGGGAGTCCGACCCCCTTGCCCACGCGCAGCAAAACGCATCTGAGGGGTGTAATTTAAAAAATTCTGGGGAGGGGCGCCCACCCCCAGACGCCCCCCCCCCTTCGCGTGCTCGCACTTGGGGTTCCGTTAGCACCCCCCTGGTACATTCTTGTACTACGCCCTGCCGAGCAAATTGCCAACATTGAAAACCGAACCCCCCACCATAGGAAAGCTGGCTACGGGCCTGTATATATATATATGGCTGCATACATTCTAATCGGATTACTTTCCACGTGCCTTCGAAAAGTGCGTACGTGTATATTTCGCAGATATTCATTTATACGCGCTCAAATTAGACAAACGCGGTGGTGGTTCACGCATATAACCTCCATATTGCAGGGAAACAAATCGATACGCTCGGATCAATATCCTCGTCACGCTATCAACACGAGGAAGCGGAAGGATAGCTGTACATGTAGCCTGCACTCCTTGCGAGTTACTGAGCAAGCACATCTGTTGTCTCAGGCGCGGCACAAGCTGCGTACGTACCATCTATTGTGGGAGGAGGGAATTAACTAGCACCGCAGCTAATTTTTGACAGACTTAATTAGAGTCTTAAGCCGCTGTCCTGGCTTAATATGTAGCTAATATCACTTAAAGTGGGTGTTGATGTTATAATTGGGAGGGGTTTATGAGTTTGGCGGTTGTGAGCATATGTTTCTTCTATAGAGCTACGAATTTTCAGATGCACGTAATGACGGATATTTATATGTGTGGAACAGCAGTGTGATACAATAAGAGTACACACACTTAGTGATACAATAAGTGTACACACAAGCCATTTTAATATGTCGCATGTTACTGTAGGTATGCATATACATCTCATACATTGTTACATAACTATATAATATTAATGCGTATACGAGTGGTCATGAATCGCAGACAGCTAGACGTGTAAATTTGCGCGCATGAATAATAGCTGAGAAAAATACGGTATCTAACGCAAAGATTAGAAGGACAGAGGATAGTGTGCGGTCAAGTAACATCTTACGCGTGGCGTATCCTGGGTCATACCACTCAGAACACTTATAGGCACAATAAACCGTAAACTAATTTGATTTAATATCCGTCAATCGAAGTATAATCTGTGAGAGCTCCACCCGTGTAGCCTTCCGCTCTGCCACAGGCACAGATACTATTCCCCGCCACAGGTCACTCCTTCATATGGC